TAGAATTATAAATGTAATCGGTAAATTTTGTCATTTTGTTCACTTTTTTTTCTTAAAACTTCCATAACTTTTTCAAAAATCTACAAATCAACATAATTTTTTTTTATACTAAAACCTTATATATTTCTCTTTCATTTTATATCATTTTTTGAAAATTTAACACTTAACCTGCTCACTGGGGGATATTTAAAATAGCAACTTTTTTACAAAAACTAACTTTTTCAACTTAATTTTTGAAAATGTTCCGGAAATACTGCGTCCTTTAAACATATATCAAATTAAAGCTTATTTTATGTACTATAAAATGAAAAAAAAAATTTGTCCCGACACTTTATCTTCTGCATGCAAACGGCTGCTGTAGTTAAAAAAACTACAAAAGTAAATAATTTTACTTTGTCTATTATAATTTTACCAGTCTATAATATTCCAAATTTTTTGTAACATGTTGCTATATAAATCATAAATTAAAAAATAAAAATGATTTTTAGTGTCAACTGAATTTAAAGATTTTTACAATTATAATCAAATTTTATAATACGCTCACAATTAAGTAAATCTTTTTAACAACTTTATTTTTATTGGTTTTTTTAGATATATAATCATTAAAATTAACTAAATTCTGAATATTTTCATTGTAGAATTATCTAAACACCAAAAGTTTAACACGGCCGCCGGGGATTGACAGCCGGTTATAGAAAGTGTACCGGAAATCATGTGAAAAAAAAACCCAGCACAGGGGGGTCGCGGCACAGTGGTGACGTGGCATAGATGGATCAAGTATAATGATATCTGACAGTGATTAAAATCACTATCAAAAAAAAACGCTTCGATGCAAATCTTTAGATAGTGTTTAATTTTAAAAAATTGGTGGATTATTCCAAAAGCTACATGATCTGCTAGTTCATTATTAATATCCTAATTAAGATAAAGTATGTCGAATGAAAAAGGGATTATTAAAAAATATTATTTCTCATAAAAAAATAATGTTGATCCATACACTTTTAAATATGTCATAGCATTATAAAGTTAAAAATGTAAAAAATAAAATCGAGAATTTTCACATAATAATAGCATTTGGTAGCCATTTTCACCGTGAAGATAAAATAAAGTCCGAAATTTTTTTTTCGCATAATAAAGTAGATTACATTAACTTTAATTTAAGATATAAATAAAAGTGTCAGACTTTCCGGAACAGTTTCAAAATTTAAGTTGAAAAAGTAAATTTTTTGTGAAAAAGTTGTCATTTTAAATCCCCCCCTGTGGGCAGGTAAAGGGTCAGATATAAAAAAAATATATACCAAATGATAGGTAAAGACATCATGCATCTATAAAAAAAAAATTATATTGATCCATACATCTTTCAAAAAGTTATAGCATTATAAAGTTAAAAATATAAAAAAGAATTTTTTTACAAAAATCGTATTTTTTTTATTAAGTTTAATGTCTGTTTTCACCATGAAGATAAAATAAAGTCCGAAATTTTTTTTTACCATTATAAAGTATATTACATTAGCTTTAATTTAAGATATATATAAAAGTGTCAGACTTTCCGGAACACTTTCAAACGTTAAGATGAAAAAGTAAATTTTTTGTAAAAAAGTTGTACTTTTGAACCCCCGCCGTAGGCAGGTAAAGGGTCATATTTATAAAAAAAATATACCAAATAAAAGGTAAAGACATCATAGATCCATAAAAAAAAAATTATATTGATCCATACATATTTCAAAAAGTTATAGCATTATAAAGTTAAAAATATAAAAAAGAATTTTTTTACAAAAATCGTATTTTTTTTATTAAGTTTAATGTCTGTTTTCACCATGAAGATAAAATAAAGTCCGAAATTTTTTTTT